GGACAGGGGACATAACCTGTTTAATGTGATCACTGCTAGCTGTTTAGTCGTTTCTTTTGCAAAATGATCTATGCAGTTAGGTCAATTCTCACAATTGCCAATTTCTGATAGTGAATTGAAGAGCTGAGAGTTCTGAAGCTCCCCAGTTCACTCTGTAAGTGGCCTACCCACTTGGCCTTAAAGTAACACTGTCCCCCTAAAGTGTATCTCCAGCCGTAACTTGTTTTTTAGAATTAGACCACTTGTCAGGTGTTTACTGCTATCTGGGGCTCCGTTAAAAGATTTCTCATTTACAGAAATTATTTAAGCTGTAAATTTCAGACACCTAGATGAGCAAAGTTATGGTGATTCCTGGAAATGCTGAAGTTTGCCTATTTGCATATTCCTATTGGTCTATCACTATGATGGGCTGACTCCCTGGTCAACAGTAATGTATTGGGGGCAGGAAAGTTCCACCATTGACGGACTTTGCCATCTAGAATGGCATGTCATTACCACGTTCTGACAGGGTTTAGGTCTCTGAGAAGTTCAGTGGATGCCATCATTATAGGTTTTCCCCAATACGCCAGTACTGGCTTCCCATCCGATTTGTTTCCTTCTGTGTCCCCTTCTCCTTTGTTCTCCCCTCTCTACCCTGGTGCACATTCTTCTTCTTGCTTCACTGTCTTCTGCTTCCTTTTCCACACTCAGACCTCCTTCACTTCCTGCTTTCCTCTTCTGCCTCCTACATCCTTCTCTACTTTTTGTTTCACACTTTCTGACTTCCTCCTCTACTCTCTTGCACCTCCTGCTTTCTCCTGCATCTCCTTCTACCTCCTGCTTCTTCCTCTTCTACTTCTTTATCACCTGTCTTCTTCTGCTCCGTTTCACTCTGTTCCCTTTCCATTGAAACTGCCTGTTAGTTAGGTCAGGTGGACCTTCTGGCCAACAGTGGGACACAGAGCGCTTTGTTGAGAGCAAGGCCAGCTGAGCTAGGTAAACAGGTTATGTATTTTTGCCCCCCCCCCCACTTCACTCTTTTCCCTTTCCATTGAAAACAACAAAAACATTTCCTAGCACATCTACCAGCCTCCAAAAAAAACTAATTGTCTCTGTCTAACAGTGTATTTCAAAGAAAGATGGTTTAGTTGCACACATTTGCAAATATATGTGAAAGCTGCCGTGCCTATGTCAAGGCTCTTCTGTATGCTGTGGTCCTATCTCTATAGTTTTCAGAGTTTCCCAAGCTGGAACACATATAGCAGTGGATAAATTAACATCAGGTTTGCCTGGAGGAGACCCACTCCTCCCTGAGGGCTCAGGGACACATTGGATGCCCAACAAAAGAACAATGGCAGCTGAAAGCATCCAATGCATCACAAAACATTCCGTTTCCATTGAAGCTACTAGTTAGTTTGGTCAGGTCAACCTTCAGAATAACAGAGCTCCGTGCAGTGCTTTGGCAAGAGCTTACCCTGTGGGTCATCAGATGGTAGATATATAATTGACTGCCCTCTAAAGTCCATGGGCAGCCATGCAAGGTACCCATTTACAGTATATTAATACTTGGGTATGTATGCCTGTTGCAGTGCTGCAGTTTTGTTAATAAGTGCAGTTAGCTTTTTAGTTTGGGGGTGGTAAGAGGACAGGTAATATTTCAACTGTATAGTATGCATATACTGTAAGGATTCTTACGGTGTTTGTAAAGCCAAGGTTTTTTTTCGTTTTGGATAAAATAAGGAATGGCTAAAACCTCTGGCAGTATTTTTTTTTTCTTTTACTTTCTGTGTCTAATTAAATGTGTACCCTTCTTTTTATACCCTCAAAAAGTTAATACCTTCCACCCTAGAAAGTGTAATGAAATATATATAAAAAACCTTTTTGTGATATAATAAATTACCAAAATAAATTAAATTAAAAAATCATAAATATATACCAAGAAATATAAAATATAAATAAAAATAAAGAATACAAAAACTCCCCAAATCCAAAATGTCCAATAATAATTCAAAAATAAGTCCAAAAATAAGTTCAAAAACAGTGTCCAAAATTCCAATCTTTTTTCTCCAAATACGAAAGTTGACCTCTATTTCATCCAAAAACGTATCTCAAAAAAACCAAATATAAATAATCTAGTGCAATTCAGTTAATTAAAAGAAATCACCCCGTGCAACTTCACACTTCACTTCAAAAATGTTTTGTGAGAAAAAAAAAAAAATATATATATATATATATATATATATATATATATATTTATTCCAATCTTAATTAATTTTCTTTATATAGTGCATCTGAACACATCAATCCAAAGTGTACACACTCTGTGATCACTGCAACTCAGTGAATACCAACAACCACCACACAATAGTACTAAATACTATTACCCTCTGTGAGTATTATGAGAGCTCTACAAACATTATAGAACAGTAATCCTCCAAATTCTTCTTTAAGAATATTTTTCCAAGGTCCTCAGAAAGATAAAATGGTCTTAGGAGCAATATTCAAAGCATAGGGATAACATTTATTAGTAACTCACATATTAAAACCAGATTATCAGCTCCAAACATGGTTTCTATCTGTTTCCACCAAACATTTCCTCCACCACGGGGTGATTTCTTTTAATTAACTGAATTGCACTAGATTATTTATATTTATTTTTTTTGAGGTACGTTTTGGATGAAATAGAGGTCAACTTTCGTATTTGGAGAAAAAAGATTGGAATTTTGGACACTGTTTTTGGACTTATTTTTGAATTATTATTGGACATTTTGGATTTGGGGAGTTTTTGTATTCTTTATTTTTATTTATATTTTATATTTCTTGGTATATATTTATGATTTTTTAATTTAATTTATTTTGGTAATTTATTATATCACAAAAAGGTTTTTTATAGATACTTTCTGTGTCTGTTGGGAAGATTTTCTGACACCTCCTGTTCTGGAGAAGCAACAAGGGAGAGGAAATTTCTATATTTCTAATTGATGGAAATACCCCTGTTAGATGTTTGTCATTGGAACTGGTGTCCCTTTTGGAATATTTCCCCCGCCTTTTATTTTGGTGCCAACTATAAAGCATTGGATTTCCAATCACTTTCTGTCCTGATGTCATTGTTCACCAGAACAAATAGAGGGTGAATATATAGTACCTAGCTTGGACACAATAGGAAGTTAAATGGGGTTCCAGTACTACCCTACTTTATCAAAAACCAAACAAAAGGTTTTGACTCTACTAAAAATCTTTCAGGCCTTGTTAGAAGATGAGTTAGAAGGTTCTTTAGATATTTTATATAGCCATGATATTGGAATGTTGGGTGCCCAGTGCCCTCGTTAAAGTGATTCCTATGTTTAGGTCTATAGCAGAGGTCTCCAAACTACAGCCCTTGGGTCAAACCCGGCCTGCTGAAAATTTTTATCTGGCCTTCTGTTGTAAGAGGGGACCTTGATGAAAGGGAGGACTCTGATGGGGAATTTGATATAAAGAGGGCTGTGATGTAATGGAGCCTCTGAACTCTGAACTTTATGTAAAGGTTGACTCTGATGTAAGGGAGACTCTGATGGGGAACTTGATGTAGAAGGATGCTCTGATGTAAGGGAGGTTCTGATGGGAAAGTTGATGTAAGGGAGGCTCTGATGGGGAACTTGATATAAGTAGGAACTCTGATGTAAGAGGGGGCTCTCTGATGGGTAACTTGATGTAAGAGGGGGTCTGATAAGGAACGTGATGTAATGGGGGCTCTGATGGGGAACATGATGTAATGGAGGCTCTGATGGGTAACTTGTTATAAGGGAGGCTCTGATGGTTAACTTGATGTAAGGGGATGACCCTGATGTAAGGGAGTTTCTATGGGGAACTTGATGTAAGGGGGTTTAATGTAAAACTTGATGTAATGGTGGCTCTGATGGGGAACTTGTTGTAAGGGAGGCTCTGATGGTTAACTTGATGTAAGGGGATGACCCTGATGTAAGGGAATTTCTATGGGGAACTTGATGTAAGGTGGGGGTTTAATAGGGATCTTGATGTAATGGTGGCTCTGATGGGGAACTTGTTATAAGGGAGGCTGTGATGGTTAACTTGATATAAGGGGATGACTCTGATGTAAGGGGGGACTCTGTAAGGGGGGCTCTGATGGGGACCTTGATGTAAGAAAGGCTCTGTAGGGAACTTGATGTACGGGGAACTCTGATGTAAGGAAGGCTTTAATGGGGAACTGAAAGTAAAAGAGGCTCTGATAGGCAACTTGATGTATGGGTGACTCTGATGTAATTGGGGAGGTTAATTTGGAATTTCTTTGCTTTGCTTACTGAAGTTTTTTTCTTCTCTGTTGTTCTAATTCATATATTGCTTCTTACGAAAAAAATTCAAGTAAAATGTTTTCATTCATTTAAATTAGATTTTGTCATATATAAAACTGATTATTTTGCAGCCCATGAATATCTGTGAAATATACATGTGACGCTTGTACTGAAAAGTTTGGAGACCCCTGTTCTAGAGTGTAAAATTCACTACGCCTTAAAATCCTAAAGTGTTCATTTAATTTTAAGATAGAAAAAGGATATTTGAAATGGATGTGACACTTCCAGTACAATTCATTAGCCCCGATCTAACATTGCATCAATAAACATCTCACAATTCATTATCATTTTCATTTTGCTAGCTTTCCATTACAGTTCGTAGTACTCATGTCAGAAGCGGGTGACATATGATATTACAGGGTGTTCAAACATTTGTGTTTTCGCTACCCTGACACCATGAGACATTTCCTGCAAAAAAAGAAAAAAAAAATCAATAACATTCTTTTTCCCTTTTTTGAAAATGGCTTAGTATTGACAAATAGGCCCAGGCCGCATGTTATTGATCACATTGTTGTAAAATCACTCTGAGTTAACCGGGGCCCTTTCCCAGGGAGGTGAAAAGAAAACTGGTGTACATCATGGGAATGAAATGTAATTGTGGGATTGGAGGAAATCTCCTGTTCATTATCGTTGTCACTCACGAGGGCCATCTTATATCTTTCTGTTCAGGAAATAAACTTGTACAGACTAAACAGCCAGGATAAGCTGGGGCTGACGGTTTGCTACAGGACAGGATGATGAAGACGACACGGGGATTTATGTCAGCGAGGTAAGATTTCTTAACATTATTGAAGTGACTTGGTACTTTACATTCTACCAATCTGCTCTTGAATATCTTCATAATTCAAAGATAAGCATACCAATTTTTGCAGTCAAGGTTCCTATGTTATCACTCACTGCCCTTCTATTGTCCCTGTTTTTAGTGCTGTTCAAAAAGTAGCTATCCTGAGCCCAGGATACCATAGCTATCCTGGGATTTAATTCTCTAAAACCCGGAGAGCTGCAGATTCCATACAATCTCTTAAAGCAGAACTAAAGCAATTGATTTAAAATGATTGTAAACAATGAAACATGAACAAAGCATATCCTTCTATATTAGTGGTCTCCAAACTGTGGCCCAGAGTCCAGATGCAGCCTTTTGCTTGCTTTTATCTGGCCATTGGGGCACATTTTTCATCCACTGATACCAACAATGTGGCATAACTCCCACCACTGACACCAATGAAGGGGCAGAATTCCTCCTAATAACACCAACAATGGGGCACAATTCTTTCCAATAATACCAAAGATGGGACACAATTCCTCCCAATGACACCAACAATGGGGTGCAATGACACCAATGATGGAGCACAATTCCTACCAATGACACCAACAATTCCTCCCACTGACACCAACGATGGGGCGCTATTCTTTCCACTGACACCAAAGATCGGGCACTGTTTATTCCCACTGACATTAGGACCTGTTTCTACTCTCACAGGCCAAAGTCTGGCCCCCCTTAAGTCTGAAGGACAGTAAATTGGTCCTTTGTTTAGAAAGTTTGCAGACACCTGCTGTAGTGTGTACTTGCCTCAGTCCAAAGCACCTAGTGTGATCTCTGTCTCCCTTGACTTATTCCTCTGTTCTCTGCATGAGTAACATTTGACAGTCTATGCCAACACCAAGCAATCCTGGAAGACAGTCTTGCCCCTCTCCAGCACACAGCAGATGATTGCCTCAGCTGTGCATGTTTCCCTATGAGAATGTGTAGAGAGGGGTGTGTCCATTTCCTCCACTCAGGTCTCAGATTATAATCAGCTCTCTGCTGTATGCTGTGCAGTATGTGACATCAGATTAATGCCCCCTGCCTTCTGGACCAGAGGAATGCTGTAGTAAGATTTGTTTCATCTATATGTACAACCTGAGGCTGGTCACTTTAGTTGGTATATGTAAGGGTTTACAACCACTTTAACTGTTTCCCGTGAATAAAAATAGTCACAGTGATCTCAACTGAATGGTAAGCCACCAATTGGTTGCTGTCATAACTGATCACATGTGCTGCACCTTTTTAACTGCAGATCAAACAGAGGCTAAGATGGCAGCTTCCCTGGCTATAAAGGAGAGGATGGTTTTATAGATTTAGAGCATCTTATACAGCCAAATGGATTGTTGACTTCTTATTGGGCCAATTCTAGCTGTCATGCTAACCTGTAAGCATCAGGACTACAGCAGAACACATGTGCAGTTATGGTCTTCTGACTTTATAGTATGCACTATGGTTCTAGGTCAGTCACTAAAAATATTGAAGCCAGTGGATCAGCATAACAGCCAGGAAAAGCATTTTTCAGAAAGACATCAGCAGCTTCAGGTCTGCTTATTTCTCTTAGAAAAGATTTACTTTGACGTTTATCACTGTTTTTCTATAGTGCACATCTAGGTTGGGAATACCACACCATGGTGTATAGTACGGAGTTCCTCATATTATTTGCACTTGCTTTTCAGATTGACCCCAACAGCATTGCCGCTAAAGATGGGAGGATCAGGGAAGGAGATCGGATAATACAGGTAAGAATGAAAGAAAATTAGTCATCTGTACAGTAAGATCACTGTGTTGTAGGAAAAAGTGAAACTATATTGATTGTTACGTTCGTGTTGCCAAGTAATCAGCCATGTAAAACCTTTTTTATACCAGCTCTGGAGTCAGTAATCTAGTGGTCTCCAAACTGTGGTCCTTTGCTTGCTTTCATCCAGCCCTTGAGGCACTATTTTCACCCACTGATAACAATGGGGCATAATCCCCCCCGACACCAATGAAGAGGCTGAATTCCTCCCAATGACACCAACGATGAGGCACAGTTCCTCCTACTGACACCAACAATGGGGCACAAATCCTCCCACTGACACCAAAGATGGGACATTGTTTATTCCCACTGATATCGGGACCTTTTCTACTCCCAATGGGCACAGTCTGGCCCCCCTTAAATTTGAAGCATGGTAAACTGACCCTTTGCTTAGAAAGTTTGGAGACCCAGATCTAGAAATGACAGCCTTAGCCATGATTTGTTAAGGAAATATAATAAGGAGATATAAAGTAAAGTTTTTTGTTTTGTTTTTTAAAGTCAATACCAAGTTCAGCTTTCTGAGTTGGGCAGAGTTCCAACATTTGCATTCATCAGATTTTATTACTATAGTAGGATTCACGTACTTTACTGCAGAAGAGTAAAATTGATGATCCATCATGGCTCCCCCTGTGTTATTTGTCATAATCTTCTTATAAACATGGGCATAATGGACCAGTACCAGTAGTGGTAGTACTAGAGATGCACTTTTTATTGGCAAGTACAAGTAGCGATACTTTTGGTCAAGTACTTGCCGATACTGAGTACCAATACTTTGCGGTGCAATTTGCGTTCATTCAAAATGAATGGGTGCACATCACACTGCAAAGAATAGCATGCAATTTGAAAATCGCATGCAGTTTCCCCAGCTCTTTTGTGTGAACCGAGGCTTATCATAGCCATTCATTTTGTATGGATGCAAACTGCACTGCAAAGTATAGATGTCAGGTATCTGGAGCATTTATTTGAAAATACTCGGTACATTATTATTATTATTATTATTATACAGTATTTATAAAGTGCCAATAGTTCGCTCAGCGCTGTACATTACAAAGGGGACAGAACATGTGACAGAACAATACCAATACAATGTGATACACGAGGGGTTCGAGGGTACATCCCTATGTAATACCACATGGTACTCTATTGTCATTGTTCCCAGTATCAGGCTGGCATTTTCCTGCCCTCTTCTGCTATTGGCTTAAAGTGGTTCTAAAGGCTTAAGGTTTTTTACCTTCATATATTCTATGCATGAAGGTAAGAGCCCTTCTGTGTGCAGCGCGGGCTCCCCAGCCCTTCTCCTCAATCCTTACCTGAGCCCCCTCTGATCCAGTGCCGTTCTTGACAGCATCTGCTATCTGGGGACTGTACCTCCTCATTGGCTGAGACAGCAGGAGGAGCCCATTGGCCAGTGAGGCTCAAGAATGAGCAGGCAGTTGTGCCCCATGGGCAAGAAGCTTTCCCTGGAAGCATTGCTCGAAGGGGAGGAGCCAGGAGCACCGGAGGGGACCCAAAAAGAAGAGGATCGAGGCTGCTCTGTGCACAATCACTGCACAGAGCAGCTGAGTATGACATGTTTGTTTTTTCTTTTGGTTTTGTTTTTTTAAAGTGGTAGTAAACCACAGACAAAAAAAAAAAAGTCCCCTGCAGGGTAATATTATAATATGCTAGTATGCATTGCATACTAGCACATTATGTAAAACTTACCTTAAAATGAAGCCCTCCAGTGTAACCACTGTAGATGCTTCCATCTTCAGCCATCTTCCTCTTGGGTTCACGAGCTTTTGGCGTGCGGGAGTCCCGGGCCACGGCACACAACTCTGAAAGAACGGCTTGGGTATGCCGTTCCTTCAGTGTGCATGTGCCAGATTAAATGAAGAGAGTATGGGGTAGATTTACTAAAGCTGGTTCACTCAGAATCTTGTACACCTGTACATGGCAGCCAATCAACTTCTAACTTCAGCTTGTTCAATTAAGCTTTAGCAATAAAATCTGGAAGCTGATTGGTTTCCATGCAGAAGTGCACAAGATTCTGAGTGAACCGGCTTTCGTAAGTAAACCCCAATATCTCCTAAATGATGCACGTTGTGTTATTTTACCTACATGTAAGCTTTATTATAAAGAGTTTACCTTAATGATGATACGTTGAAGTTTGTCCAGAAGAATGGAACCATTTTTATTCCATTATAGACTTCCAACTTGGCTTCAAAGGAATATTTGCCAACCTCCTCAGCAATATTCATGACACTTAAGAATATCATTTACAGTACACCAAAGTAAATTCATTTCTTTCCTTGTTTTTAAGATTAACGGCATTGATGTTCACAACCATGAAGAAGCTGTGGCTCTCCTGACAAGCGAAGACACCAAAAATGTTTTCTTACTAGTAGCAAGGCCAGAATTGCAGGTATAGTACCTTTTTTCCTTTGTGTGATCATCTCTGTGACCAATTAGAACCTCTCTTTCATCTATAATAAAAGATTTGGGAAAAGAGAGTAGGTATTACAAATACTTATTAGCAATGTAGTCATTTTCCATTTGGTCATGAAAAGGTGCAGTAGTTGCCTACATGTCCAGGGATACATTCACACTTGGACTTGCAGCTAGTTAGCTTCAATCACACAGGGTAATAGTCAGGGGTGGACTGACAACTCATGGGGCCCCCGGGCGATAGGGGATCATGGGGCCCCTGTGTTCTTGACCAAACTCAAAAAAGCCTATGAAAAAGGTACAAGGGGCATCTCATGGGGCCCCCTACTGACCCCGGGCCCTCGGGCAGTGCCCCGAGTTTCCAAATGGTCAGTCCGCCCCTGGTAATAGTATATTTTGGTCCTGTTTTTCCATAAATATTAGTATTGTAAATGCTTATAGTGGTTTTCTTTGCAGTAATTATTATGTAGCTGCCAGGTGAGGAGCGAAAGAGAATACTATAGAGTGGTAGTTGAGTGATATCTCTGAGGCTGCTGACAACATGTCCATCATAGTGACATCATGACATCATTGTGGAGCCCAGCAGCAGTCTGGGGGATTTTGGATAGCTAGAAAAGGGAGGATTTTATTGTTTAGATGGGAGAAGGAAAAACAGCACAATCAGGTGTGCTCTCTCTCCCTTTCCCATTCTAAACTCTACTATACAGGCAATGCAAGAGTTGGACACCAGGTCAAATTCTGCATTGAAAAATGCATTTAATGATGTAGTAATGAATACAGAGGTCAAATTCTTAACCAAATGTTTTTTTAATGATGTGTTAATGAGTACAGAGTTGCATTCGTATCTGTCTGGATGTAACATGTTTCAACAGTCCCCTATAACCCACCTCTGCCATATAAAAGAAAAATTAACTTTTATGTTAGATGTTTCCCCAAAAAGATCATTTGTGCAAAAAAGGTCTTTTTCATAGATACATTTTGCTACAAAATAGCAGTAAGGTTGGAATTTTTGAGGCAGTTTTTGCCAAATTTAGAACTTTTTGCTTCTCTGTTTTTCTATCAATCAAGCGAAAGAGAATACAATAGAGTGGTAGTTGAGTGATATCTCTGAGGCTGCTGACTTCATGTCCAAGATAGTGGAGCTATCTAAGGACCTTTTCATACCGAGCTCAGTGGGGGATCTGTCTGCTGATCCCACGCTGAGCAGGTGGATGACAGGTCCATGTCCACCCCACTTTGCAGAACGGACACGAACACAGCTTGTTCTCCTCTATGGGCAGTCAGATGTAAATGGACCACCTGTCTGTTTATACCCGACTGCCATCCGATCTGCCAAGACAGAGTGGAATGGATCTCCCATCCGTCTGTTTTTAGAGAATCGGATCGCATTGCATGTCCGTTTACACCCGATGCTCCATAAATGGAGGGTCCACCTTAAAAATGGACAGGTGGACCCGAACGGACTGCTAGTGTGAAAAGGGTGTATTACTCACAATAGCGAATGTTCGTTGGTCATTGACCAATAAGTAGTGCATCCGAGCCTTCTTCAAGTAAGGTGTCCCAGAAGAAAAAAGGCGTTTCTCATTAGTTAGGGTGGTTCACATGGCTGCGCTGACCAGTGAACGCTGGGCTGTGTGTTACAGTGTATGGACCTCCACACTGGCAGCACAGAGTATTATAGCCCCTATGAGCAGCAAGGTCTAAAGGGGTGACAAGGATATCTGGAGTTAGTTCATTTTTTCATTTTTCATACAAAGTCCTGAACTTGCCCTTTAAGAGAAACCTCCATATGTGGGAAAGACGTTGCTGTCCCTGCTGAACTCTTGGAAATGCTAGTTGCCTGCTATCTGACTGTCTTATTTTATGTAGAGCTGTATTCTGTATAAAAAGTCAGTGGCATAACCAATAATCTCTTGTCTTATTGCTAGTGCTGTTGCGTTTTTGGATTTTGATTATTTTTACAAGCAGTCCATAACTTTAAAACACAAAGAAGATAAAATATTAATCACTTTATAGCTATCTGTAGGGCAGACCATTAAGGAGGGAGGACAGACAGGAAAGGGGGGGGAGGTTATTGGTATTGTTTCTTTGACAGATCTGTGATATAATCTTTTTTTTTTTTATCTTTTCCCCTGGCGCACAGCTGGATGAAGGATGGATGGACGATGACAGAAATGATTTTCTGGATGATCTGCACATGGATATGCTGGAGGAACAGCACCACCAGGCAATGCAATTTACAGCCAGCATGCTTGAGCAGGTAATGTGATTCTGCACTGTACTCTGTCACCAGCTCTTGTCATATCTTGTAGTGCCATTCCCGCCTCCCATTAAATGGATTAAACTAACCAGCCAGTTTAATGAATATATGAGGTTAAGGACTAGCTGGGGCTATTTGTCAGAGCATCACATTAAAGGCTTACAGGGGGAGAGAGGACAATATATTTTCATTGTTTTAGCTGGATGCTTTTAATATAACCGGACTGACAGCTGGAGAGATAAGATACGTTCCTAATGTTCAGTGATTAGAGGACAGAGATCCTAACACTTACCAAGGTAGGGACCATACAAACAATAAGTAAATCGCACAAAAATTTTGGTCTGAGGAGCAATTGAACAATATTCTGATCGTTAGTATACAGCTTTCGAGAGGCGATCACGACAGTTTATGCGACAGTAACTGAAGGGACAAGTGCCGAAATTACCAGATGGTATGTTTTTTGTTTAATTAGTACAGTAGTCATCTTAATGTACAATACAATATATGACGTCACTTCTGAAATTCTATTCTGTCATACAAGAATTTTGGAAGTTGAATAACCTCTTCGTTTTCGATATGAGACTAGCATGCCAAAAAAAAACGGATGATCATTTGTTCGATATTCTCATCATGCGTACTAGGTATAAGGATGGCCTTGTTCAACAAACCTGGCCTGTAGTCTGGGAATCCCACACTTACAGGCAAACCCCACTGAGTTCTGTAGGACTATGGTCTTTTATCTGGCCATTTTCAAGGCTAATAGGCAAGCTATTGCTACATAAGGGACACAAGCATTGAGCACTCTTATTGGGGACACGTACCAATGCAAAAACAGTTTTAAAAATACAGTTCAGCAGATTGAAGATATTTTCAATCAGTTTGAAGAGCAGCTTTGAAAGTACACAGAACTTTACATACCTTGCTTGGTAGATGCCATAAAGCTGAACTTGGTATTTTAGGACAGTACATTGTAGTCCCATAAAAGTGGGAAGTGATTCCTCCTATTTATTACAGGTATTTATATAACCCCATCAATTTACGCAGCGCTTTACATATATATTGTACATTCACATCAGTCCCTAACCCCCAAGGAACGTGCAATTTACAGTCCCTAACTCACATTCATACATACTAGGACCAGTTAACCTACCAGCATGTCTTTGGAGTGTGGGAGGAAACCCACACAGGCACAAAGAGAACATGCAAACTCCACGCAGGTAGTGTCATGATTGGGATTTGAACCAATTACCCTAGTGTTGCTAGGCAGAAGTGCTGACCCACTGTGCTGTCATTATATTATAAGCTTAGCCACTGTGCTGTCATTATATTATAAGCAGACCTATGCAAGTATGCAGCCTGCTTGGTCAGGAAATGGATTGGTAGTGAGCATCCCATGTGCCATACCAGGCCATATGTCTGTCATCAGTGGAGGTGTCTTTGCAAGAGCCTATCAAGGCAAGGCACTTTTTCACAATGTTGATGAATAAAGTTTCCTTCCCACATCCTGTCCCCCCAAAAGGTGTGAATTGTTATTGAGGGGCGGGGGGGTATAGGGAAATTTGGAGGCCCCTTTTACAATAAGTGTCCCCATATATCTACCTCATCCCAGGGCAAGAAGTACAAGTGATTCATTATTCAAGAAAGAGTAGATTGTAAATAAATATACCAACACCTGCCATCCATTTCTGAGTGCTCTTTGATCGGTATGTTTGGGGGTCACCCAAAATCAAAAAGTTCATTGAACCTCCACCATATTTTACCGTAGGTACTGTGTTTTGTTCTTTGTAGGCCAATTTCATAAAAATACAATAAGGACAAAAAATGTCACTAATGTCCACCAATGTAAAATAGTTCGTGCAACATCAGTCATGACGTTCAGCAAATCCTCATCACTGACATCAAGCGATAATATCAACCCACCGCACTCCCATTGCTAAAAGACAGATCGCTGATGCTGTGGTCAATTAAACACAGGGCCAAGGATCCTAGGTGATGTCAGTGACCAAACCAGAATCTCATTCATGCTACTGCAGAGGTATTATTGTTGAAGGTTCATGTAAAAACACATGCTTGTATTGTTGTACTGCCAAAGTAATTTTTTAAAAGTAAAAACTTTTTTTTCCTAGATTTGGTTAGAGTATAGAAGGAGTAAAAACTGTCTTCCTTATTTCATGTTCTGAGAACAGCCTTGAGAATTTGGATTTCCAAACACTTTCTGTCTTGATGACAGTGATCACCAAGACATATTGAGAGGGCGAATCCCCCCATCAGGGCCACAGACAGCAATAAAAAACCTAAACATGTGTTTAATTGCAACTAGCATTTTCGTGGTAGAAATAACATGATGATGAGGGGTGTCTTTGGCAAGAGCCTAATCAGGCAAGGCACTTTTCACAATGTTGATGGGTTTCCTTCCCACATCCTGTCCCCCCAAAAGGTGTGAAATTGTTATTGAGGGGCGGGGGGGTATAGGGAAATTTGGAGGCCCCTTTTACAATAAGTGTCCCCATATATCTACCTCATCCCAGGGTCATAATCTTTCCCCTTGCAACTTCTAAACCAACAAAAACAATTGTCTATGCACAAATACATGCACATGGCTTCAAAAAGATACTGGTTTTCCTGTTTACTGCAAGATATAGGCTTACTGTTTTGCCTGGGCCAAGGATTTGATGTCAATCCTGTACAGCCAGTATTTCGATTTGTACAAATCTTTGCCATACTGCATGACCACACTATTTTCCTGGTTCAATAGCACAGTTTCCCGTGTCACCTCTCCTGGTGACACCTTTTTCTAATGAGCAGTTAAATGACCCAGGTAGGAGTAATGGTAGACAGGAAGAAGTGGAGCAGTCAGCCTTGCTAGCAGAGGTTTTGTATAGAATGCTTCTTTGAGTAAGGTGACCCCTGAATACAGAAGTGCTTCTCATTGGTCAGCACTAGCATGTGGCTGCACTGACCAATGAGCAGTGTATGGATGCCCACAGTGGCAGCACTATGTGCAGCAGGGTCTGGAGGGGTGAACAGGATATTTGGAGTTCATCTTTTCATTTTTTGTGAAAAGGTGGACTCACCCACTGGGAGATTTATGTGTACTTTAAGTGGAAATTTGAGGTAATGGAATGTAGACTTTGTACAGGCTTTTTTATATAATGCTCATGGAGTCTGTTGCTTTTTATGTCAATTTACCTTCTATTTTTTGACCTTATTAAAATATTTGCTTTGTCATTTCTGAATTTCTAGAAAAAGATTGAAGAAGACGGTGGAACCACAGACACTGCAACCATTTTGTCCAACCAGTTAGAGAAGGACAGTGGTGTTGGGCGTACAGATGAAAGCACCCGCAACGATGAAAGCTCGGAGCAGGAGAACATTGCCGATGATCACACCACATCATCAAACACACTGGAGAGTCAGAAGAAGCTGATGTACAGTCAAGACACTCTGGGCAGCGGAGATATGCAGTTCAGCAACGAGTCCTTTATATCTGCTGACTGTACAGATGCTGACTTCCTAGGCATCCCCATGGATGAGTGCGAGAGATTCCGAAAACTTCTCGAACTGAAGTGCCAGGTCCAAAGTGCCAACCAGCGGAGTCGATATTACCAAACCAGCACAATGGAGACCAACCGCAGTGACCAGGAGAGCGTGGACCGTGAACTTGAAATGCTGAATGAGGAGCTGCACAGCATCGAGCTTGAGTGTTTGAACATAGTCCGTGCTCATAAAATGCAACAACTGAAGGAGCAGTACAGAGAATCCTGGATGCTGCACAACAGCGGCTTCCGTAACTACAACACGAGCATCGACGTGCGTAGGCACGAGCTCTCTGATATCACCGAATTGCCAGAGAAGTCAGACAAGGACAGCTCAAGTGCCTACAACACTGGGGAAAGCTGCCGTAGCACCCCTCTGACTTTGGAAATTTCCCCCGACAACTCACTGCGCAGGACAGCTGAAGCTCTTAACAGCTGTCCAGAAGGAGCAGCCAGTAGCAGTCCTTACAATGGATCGCAGAAGAATGTACGATCAAGCGGAGAAAGCCGCGAGTCCAGCCCTGCCAGATATCACCAAACTGCTAAGGACTCAGACTCAAGCAAATCAGTGGAAGCCAGAGACAAAAAAGTTGCCGATATGGGTAAAAGTCAAAGTTCTTCTGAAAAGCAGTCAAGTTCTTTTGTGCCACCCTATCGCCATTCACCTTACAAGCACGCCCACATCCCCGCCCATGCGCAGCACTATCAGAGTTACATGCAGCTGATCCAGCAAAAATCAGCAGTCGAGTATGCTCAAAGCCAGATGAGTTTGGTCAGCATGTGTAAAGATCTTCAGAATGCCTCGGAGCCAAGGATGGAATGGAAAGTGAAAGTACGTAGTGACGGGACCCGCTACATCACGAAAAGACCTGTTCGAGATAAGTTGTTAAGAGAAAGAGCCATTAAGATCAAAGAGGAGAGAAGCGGAATGACAACAGATGATGACGCCATTAGCGAAATGAAAATGGGACGTTACTGGAGCAAGGAAGAACGCAAGCAGCACATTAGGAAGGCCTCTGAACAGAGAAAACGTAGAGAGTTCATGATGCAGAGCAGGTTGGATTGCTTAAAAGAGAAACAGACTGCAGAGGACAACAAGGAGGTCAGCATCATTGACCTCAGCCACAAAAAGATGATGAAGAAACGCAATAAAAAGATTTTTGACAACTGGATGACAATTCAAGAACTGTTAACCCATGGCACGAAATCTCCTGATGGAACGCGAGTGTACAACTCGCTACTCTCCGTCACAACTGTATAAAACATAGAACTCCAAACTTTTCTTCTCTTCTTTTGTAAATACAAACTACCATTGCGGTAGAATTCCCCCGCCTCGTTAAATGTGGCAGATATTTTTCCTTTTTGTAAATATAAGATAATTACAGTCACTGTGTTAATAGTTTTGGCTTTTTTACATACCTAATCTTACAACTCAGTGTCAAAATTGCACAAAACCTCACTGCTGCTCCTGAGACAATAACAACTACTTGCAGCTGATGCCTTGAGTACCCAACACAGCAGTGGGATCATAATTGGCCAAATCCCCCAAGACTCAGTTGTTCTCCCAAGAAAAAGAAGGTGAATCATTTAGAAGACTTAAACTGATATGCCCAAAGTAAATAGAATCTTGGGGTTTGGTGCCTGGGCATTCCTTGGTCAATGGAAATGGTCTTACAACAGTCACATACACTGATATGTAAGGTCATCAGGTGAAACAAAAGGATTATGAGCTGATGCCTTGAGTACCCAACACAGCAGTGGGATGATAATTGGCCAAATCCCCCAAGACTCAGTCGTTCTCCCAAGAAAAAGAAGGTGAATCATTTAGAAGACTTAAACTGATATGCCCAAAGTAAATAGAATCTTGGGGTTTGGTGCTTGGGCACTCCTTGGTCAATGGAAATGGTCTTACAACAGTCACATACACTGATATGTAAGGTCATCAGGTGAAACAAAAGGATTGTGAGCACTCCACTACATCAGGAAGGGCAGTGCCTGTGTTTAAACAATGCTGTATAACAATGCAGCCTTTATACAGTTGACATTTTTGTTGAAGGTTTGATAAGAGACAACGCATTTTGGGATCTGCTTCCAAGTCATCATGACTGTGAGTAAAAGTAACTGAAGCAGGAGGGATGATACTGACATTGCAAATAAGGAACCTGACAATCCATGCAGGATAGTGTGAGCCTTCTAGCTAAACAGGACAACACAGCTGTCAGTGAATCCTGATGAAGAGGATGCAGATCCCTAAAATGTGTTGACTGTTGTGGAACCATCAGTAAACATTCCAATTGTATAAATAATACCGTGGTATAGAACATTATTTTGGACATAGGCACTGTTCCTCCAGACAGAATGGAGGATCCACATTCATTTTGTCTCAGCTCATGTACAGTAAACGCGTTGTCAAGTGAGCAGCCTACTATTTCTACTCGATACAGACTTATAACCAGCATCCAAAGGCACCTCATTTCTCGTATACCTGCGGTCATCATACAGCCTTATTTCCATTATATTCCTCAGGGAACAAATGGATATTGAGTGGCTGTTTAAGTTGTTTGAACCGTATAAATTAGCTGCCTATTTGATTAGGCCAAAGCACCAAATTGTTCTAATCAAATTGGCTTATTGAAGGGGCATCTCCGGCTAAACGCAGTTTAAAAAACACACAGAAGGGAAGTTTTGTCAAAAGAATTGCAAGTGATGCTTACTGATCTGCCTCCTGTTTGCTTTACTTTTTAGTAACAAGAAAACCGCAAGATGTTGAGCTTAAGGGCTCGTTCACACTTGGCTGTTTTACCAAAACTTGCCAAACGCCCCTATAGCGTTTGGCAAGCGTTGGTCCGGCGTTTGCGGAACGTTTTTTAATGCTCGGTAAATGCTTCGCAAATGCCGCATGCGCGGTTTAGCGGCGGTTGCTAGGCGTTTGCAGAGCGTTAATAACGCCCCACAGACGCCGATAATGCAGTTTTAGTGGTGTTACCGCTCCACAAACGCCCCACAACCGCGTTGCAACCGCACCGCAAACGCCGGCTGGGAATTTGCGGAGTGGCACCATAGACGAGAATAGGAGGCTTCAACGTCCGTTTTGCCGTGACGCGACACGAACGCTCCTGTTAGAACAACACTATGTGCTGTAATGTGCAGAATTGGCAGAGGCGTTTGGGAAGTGGTAAAAACGCTTCCCAACCGCCTCTCTGCCGCCTGCACACAACGCTAGTGTGAATGTAGCCTTAGGAAGCATGGGAGCTACCATTGCATAAGACTAGGTTCACGCTATATCAGGTTGTCCTGCCTGCGTTTTCCGCAGGGAAAAGGTGCATGCACCTTTTAAACAATGCAGCCGCAGGGAAACTGCATGATCTTTTTGACCATTTGTTTTTCCTGTGGTTCCCATACCTGCAAACTCTCTGCGGCCTGAGATGTATGGGGGGCTGCCATTCAGAATGAATAACAGCCCTGCACCTCTCATAAGAACAAGTGCAATTCCTTCACCCTCAACCAGCTCGCGGACTGCAGGCAAGTGTACCTAGGATAAGAATGTTGGCTTGTATTAAAGACCCAACAGTGGCGTGAATATCAGGAGTGCAAATGTTTCTGTTTCTTCTTCCAAGTCTTAGAGAATAAGCATGAAAGCCAAGTGAGCTACCATTGTTTGGGGGGGAGCTCATAACTGGCAGCCCCCATGTTTCACTCTTAGCTCAGGTTTTTTTTCCATGCCTTCCTCTAAGCCCTCCCATCCATCAACTTGGCAGGCACTCCCACTACAAGCCTGATTTAAGCATTCAGCTGGCATGTGGCAGTTTATTATAGTGACAGAATTCATATGTGTACAGCAGCTGAATTAAAAATGGCTTTGTGATTTAGGAAGGAATAGGTAAGTGATATAAAGGGTGTGTTATAAACTTTTCTTGCAGCTGTTCTTCAGTAAGAGGATGGAGACAGCAGTGATGTACAGAGTGCACTAACCCTAAGCTATGAATCAGATTTCAGTTTGTTGAAGACAGATCGCTGAAAGAGGGTGTCAAATTGGTTTCATTGTAAGGACATTGCTCTTTGCTTAATAAATAATTTCATTACTTCCTCGTCCATTGAGGGACACAGAAATACTGTCATCATCGGGTTATACTACCACGTACATGAGGATTGGACACTGGCAAACAAAAAACTGTAGGCCAGCCCAGGATATAAGTACCTTCTCTTACTACCAGCATGCTTCAGTTTTTGGCTACTCCGCTAGGTGGGTGGACATCCTATTTTCAGGACCGCTGTATGGAATCCTGGCTTTTGGAGGATTACATCCAGAACCCCGTTGGACTAGACATTGAGGGCATAGTCTGGAAGTGACCTTTAGCCCTGTGTTTCACATAGGGTGCTATTTAGACTCAGTTCTGGTTGAAGTTCGCTGCAGAGTGCTTTAGAGGTTCAGAGCCACGGACATTATTTCAGTGCTTGTCCTGTCTTAGAGGTCTCACTTTGTGAATAAGCCAGTTGGTCCAAGCATCGGTAGCTACCTCAATTAAATAGGTTGTGATGATCTGTTGGAGGCTTCCCTGCTTATCCCTCACATGGGTATCCTGTGAGTACACATGCATAGGACACTTTGATTGATGTGCTGCTTTGCAGATCCCATGTCTAAAACACATCTACTAATCTGTGATTGCTACAGTGTGGTAGTCTAGCACTGCGTAAATTGATGGAGCTATAGAAGTACCTGTAATAAATAATAAATGAATAGTCTAGGAAGACTACTTCCTGCAAGGTCTACCATGGGATGTGGAAGACATACTTTACTTGATGTGAGTCTGGAGCCTTCGACCCTAGGGTCTTCTCCATGGATGCATCTCAGCACCATCAGGGGCCAGGTCTCTGCCCTTTCGATCTTCTTCCAGACTATTGAGCTCTTATTGTCCTCTTTGATTAGGATGTTTGTAGACAGAGTTTCCTATGTAGCTCCCCGTTTGTTTTCCTGTGACTCTATGGGATGTGAATCTGGTTCTATTTGCGCTTTAGAAACCGCCATTAGAGATATCCCTGTCTTTACTGTCACCCACAAGGAGGTATTCCTTATAGCCATCACCTCTGTTGGTTGGTTGTCTAAGCTGGTGGCCTATCCTGAAAAGAGTCCTTATGGTTTTGCATAGAGACAAGATGTTATTGAGGCCCAAGACTTCCTTCTTTCCGTATGTAGTTTATTATTATTATTATTACATCGAGTTTATATAGCACCAAAGGGTTTGCTCAGCGCTGTACAATAGAGGGGGGGACAATACATGAAACAGTACAACAATAACAAGCAGCACACGAGGGGTTAGAGGGCCCTACTCTTTCGAGCTTACAATCTAGGAGGGAGCGGGTAGTGGTACAGGAGGAAGTGGCTGTGGGGGATGGAGTGGTAGGAGGAATGAAGGAGAACGGCTGTTAGGTGAGGGTGGGGTAGGCTTCCCTGAAGAGGTGGGTTTTCAGGGAGCGCCTGAAGGTGAGGAGGGAAGGTGACAGTCTAATGGATTGGGGTAGTTTCTGTCTTTTACTTCAACCAATACTGTGCTTTCATGCCTCTCTGTCTGGCTCCAGTTCAACAAAAGATTTTGCTCCTGAGTTTGGATGTAGTTCAGGATGTGAGAGTTATCTGTCAGTTACTACTTTCTTTAGGAAGACTGATTCCCTTTTTTGTAATCCTGGATGTACCCCGTGCTCCAGAATCTTGTTTCAGTGTCTCTAAAAGACTCAGGCAGACCATCCTCCAGACTTATGGTCTCAAGGATCAGGTTCCATCCTTTCTTCTCAAGGCACACTCTACTAGACCTGCGATCCTCTTGCAAGGCTGTCATCTGCTTTTTCTTGTTTTCACAAGTTGGATGTTGCAGTTTCATCTAATACAAGCACAGGGTCCTTCAGGTGGCTTTTTGTTGGACTTCTTTTGAAAGGTGAATGACTTCCTGTGTCCCTCAATAGATGAGATAGGAAATAAGTATTTTTGTACTTACCATAAACTACTTTCCTGGCGCCAATCCATGCCACATGTATTTTGCCATAATTGGCACCAGGAAAGGAAAATTACAGTAAGTGTTTGATACAATTTTCCATTTTCCTAGCGCCAACATGGCAGCATACATGTGGTAGTATGCTGCCATGGATTAGCTCCAGGAAAGGAAAATGAAGGTAAATATTTGATACAATTTGTCGGGTTTTTTTAAAGTCAGTTGAGGGATACAGGTCCCACCCTTCTGACTTTATAGTCATGCTCTCTGGAAGGCG